GAATGGCTATTTAGTAATAAGAGAAAATAATGGAGATAGTGTTGCTGGCAAACACAGAACTTCAAAACCAACGGAAGGGCTAAAGAAAGCCGGGAGGGCCGGGGAAGATAGGTTTGACGGCGGATAATTTGTCAAGTTGGAGGGATAAAAAATGAAGGAAACTGATGGGGCTGAAAATAGGAACAGAAGAGAAACAGATGAAGGACAAAAGTTGGCCCGAATGATTGAGCCATTTTTGTGCACAATTCAGATTCCTTGTTGCGATCAAGACTGATGTTGGCGTTGTCGCTGTTGCCGCTGCAACAGTAGGCATCGCCATTATCAGTAGGAATAACAACAGCTGTAATTTGTGAAATAGTGTCGTTTTTGGAGAGATATTTAATGGTTGATAGGTTGGTCTCAGCCGAGCACACGTGTAGGGTGTATGCCTGTATATGTATGATAAAATTGAATTGCTACCCATAACCAGAGGTGATAAATCAGATAACAATTTAGCGTGGTTGATCTGTTTTGAGGCCAAATTATACATCGGCATTCTACAGAACCCATCTATCATTTAGAATTTTGTATGTATATACATGTAGATGTATGATTTACATCATTCAGTTATTATTGATAGTGTACAACTAACTATTAATCGATCGACTTGGTTCTAATACTCTTCTGATTTCTGCAAAAATAATAATAACAGTAATAATTTTTGCAGCTTTTAGTGATTATAGTCATTTTACCTTTCTGTTCATCTTTCATCTTCATCTTTCTTTTTCATCTCTTATATTTATTCTAATATTTGTAACCGCTTTTTTTGCTGTACAGAATAACTGGTTGAAGGGGAGGAAAAAAAAGGAAATTGCTAGCAGATGGATTAATGCCTGTTAGTTGATTAAAGTACTTTTTGTTTTGCTGCTGTCACTGTTGTGAAAATCAAATTGTAATTAGAAGCAAATTTTTTTCCTTGCACTTTTTTGACCTGACTGAAGTTGGATTTAATTGAATAAGTTGTTTCACTCTCAAAAGGATAAGAAAAAGAGAGTAGGATAGTAAGTTATCTTTTTTTGTTTCTTGTCTATGATACTTGCTTTTTTTTTTCTTACTTACTTGTATTTTGCAACAGTTTCTTCTTTTTTGGCTTATAATTGCAAAAAAGTAAAAGATGAATACGAGGAACAGTTAGTTGACAGTTAGTTGCACATTAATTTTGAACAAATAAAATTTTTTTGATGTACCTCAGTTGCTGTTCTGCTATTTGCTGCTTTTGTTGTAAAGATAAGAAGAAGAAAAGAGTTTTCACTTTTTAATGGAACAAATTATTCGTACTGTTTAGTTTCTTCCCCATTTTTTTTTTACTTATCCGATAAGTTATCTCAGATTAATACGCCTGTATTTG